CCCCAAAACCCCAAAACCCCAAAACCCCTCAAGTAAAGTAATGTGTTTAGCAAGTGATATATAAATAATTAAGTTTCAAATATGCAGTTTCTCTCTAAATTTAATTAAAGCTCCCTCACTACATAAGCCTTAAATTTTAATGCCACTGCCTTGTAATCAGCCAGATCTTTATCCTATAAAAGAGGATCAACTTCCAAAAGTGATTATCAAGGCAAAGTTGCCAAGTAAAAAGAAGATGGAAGATTTTTAAACTCAATCGGGTAATTTTCAACTAGCAACAGCAGAGCAGCTAATCTTAAAAGTAATTAGAATCTGCATTCCAGTCTCGATCACTTTAAGGGGTTGAGAGATGAATTTATTATTCCTACCTGTCATATTAGCAATATACCGCAAAGTTACTTTGTTGGGCATTCTTTAGGTCTGCAACCTAAAAACACATAAGCTATGGTTCAAAAATTTATGGATTAGTGGGCTTAGCATGGAGTAGAATCCTGGTTTAAATGGTGGCTTGATGCAGAACTTAAATTGTCAAAATTAATGGCACCAATTATTGGAGCACTTCCAGAGGAGATAACATTTTCATCGGGCTTGACTGAAAATATTCATAAGTTGGTAGCTACTTTTTACCATCCGTAAGGCAAGAGAAATAAAATTATTACTCTATAAAATGAGTTTTCAAGTGATTTGTATGCAATTCAATCTTAAATCAATCTGAAGGGGTTAGATGATAAGGAATGCATGATATCAGTTGCAGTAAATTAATTTGATTCTAATCAGGCTACTCAATAACTAATTGAAGCAATTGAGAAACATAAAGATGAACTGTGCTTAGTCTGGTTCAGTCAAGTTAATTATTTAACTTCTACAAGGATTGATGTTGAGTAAGTTACAAAGATCTGCCATAAGTATGACATCAAATGCTTAGTAGATTTAGCTCATGCAGCTGGAAGTATCCCTCTAGACTTGCATAAATGGAATGTAGATGGTGCTGTTATGTGTTCTTACAAATATTTGAACTCAGGGCCTGGTTGTATGGGAGGCCTATTTGTGCATAAAAATCACTCTAATGTGATACCAGGACTTAGAGGTTGGCACGGTAACTCCCGTTAAACTTAGTTCTTAATGAGACCTAACTATGAGCCTGAGTAAGATGCTCGAAGATTTCAGATAAGTAATTACGATCCTAGCTAAGCTGCAAGAATTGAAAGTAGTCTGACACTCTTTTAAAAAGCTGGCGGAATGTAGCATATTAGAGAGAGGAATGTTAAGCTTAGTAATTATCTAATAGAAAGATTGTTGGATATGCCAAAGTTGAAGGTTATTTCCCCATTTAATGATGAGGAGAGAGGATCTCATTTATCTATAATCATTCAAAATACAGACATGAAGGAGTTTAGTGACAGACTAATGAATCAAGGAGTGCTCGGAGATCTTAGAAAATTTGAGAACGATGTATATCTAATGAGACTATCCCCTGCTGGTCTATATATTACTTATGAAGACTGTGATAGACTATTATAAGCTTTGGAATATGGGCTAGATAATAAGGGAAGCGTAGAAAAGGCTAAATTATGAGTAAGCTAAGTTTAAATTAAAAAGATTCATTGTTGAAAAGATAGAACCTTCTCCTCTCAGAGATGAGACAATCAAGAGAAGCAATTCTTATAGATAAGAATCCATACCTAGTTAATATGAGTTATTAATTTCGATATTAAAAATATAAGGTTAATTCTATTTAATTTTTAAAGTTAAGATATGAATCGTTTGGCTTAAGTTTAATAATAGCATGTAAATTTGAAGGTAATTCATCAAATGTTTCACTTAAAATATCTAAAATATCTCAACATATTTCTCATTCCAAATCCAGAAGTGCTGCTTACGTGGAAACTTCTCTTTGGAGTGTTTCCATTTAAGATTGATGTTGGTCTGATTTTTGTTGAATAGTTAAAGGCCTATTGTTTAAATAATGGCATTTAGTATTAGACTTATCCCGTCAAGTTTTGTTATTCTTCTGCTACTCTTTATTTCAAAATTGCTTCCAGTTCATTTGGCTATGAAGCCCCTTCTGGTAATTCATATAGGCCAAAGTATTTCTTAAGGATCATCTCGACTTTTGGGTCTCTTTGACGAGATGCCATTAGAGTCTTGATTTCAGGTACAGTTTAGAGTACTTCCTTGAGGATCTAAGCTTCAACTTTACCATATGATAGGCATTTAGCAAACTCAACGTGACTCAAGTATACTAATTCCTACTGAGTTCTGAACATGCCTGGATAAGCTTCGGTTAAATAGGTAGTAAGTCCTCTTGCTAGAAGATAGCCTTCAGCAACATCAGCCTCTCTCATTATATCGAACAAAGAGGATGATAGTTGAGAAATAGCATCAGCTTAAGGTTTTCTCATCTCCTAGAATTTTCTAGTTATAGTTTACCAATGACCATTATATTGATCAATAAGACTTTCTAGAACGACACAATCCTCTAGTCCAGAGTTCAATCCTTAGCCATAGAAGGGTGTCATTGCGTGAGCAGAGTCTCCTAGAAGTAGATAGTTACCCTTAGCCCATGGGTAGCATTTGATGATGACTATTCTGGCAACTGGATTATTTTCAAAGTCCTTCTTCATGTAAGGCATTAACTACTTAGTATTTTTGAACATTGAGTGCATATACTTCTCAAATTAGTCTGAATCTTTGAACTCTTCAAATGAATTAGGGCCTCTAAGCTTCATAAAGAGACCAATTGTAAAGTTGTTTTCAATGTTAGGTAGGCCAGCAAGCATAATCTGCTTTCTGGGCCAGAAGTGGAAGGCGTTGGGGTTGTGTCTGTAGTTCCCATTTTCATCAGGGGGAATCTCAAGTTCAATATAACCGTACTCACCAAAGTCAATGGAGTAGTTGAAATCAATAGTTTAGAGGAATGCCTTTTACACCGCTGAGAATGCTCCGTCTGTACCAAAGACTTGCGCGTACTTTCTTGGACTGATCGAGCCATCTGATAGTACAGCATCAAAAGTTGTTTCCTTCAAATTTACATTTTGAACTTGAGTATTGAAGAGCAAATTAACATTCTCCATTCCTTTTAACTTTCTAGTTAGAATTTCTTGAATGTACCTTCTTCTGATTGAGAGTACACAGTCACTCTCCTTTCCGTAGGGATAGTAGTGAGTAGTGTCATCAGGCATGTGGACGCACCTTTTGTACATTGGAACCATGGACTTAATGATCTCCTCTTGGACATTGGCTCTTTTCCAGCCATGAAGAGCGCGCATTGAGACACTCAAATTGAAGGATCTACCCTGCTCCTTGAATCTGCCATCGCAAGGATCATCTCGCTTCTCAAACAAATCAACTTCATAACCTTTCTAAGCCAAAATAATAGCCAGAGTGGACCCAACTGGTCCTCCACCGATAACTGCAACTTTTTCTCTTTCCATGTTCAAGATAGATTTTAATTAATAATTATATGATGATATGAAAGGTATATTTTATAAACATCTAGTCAATAACATAGAACTTTTATTTAGTATTGTATTTATACAGTTGAATTTCATAATTGGTATTACTTTAGAATGAACAAGGAATTCGGTTAAAAAAGGGGATTTCTGAGACAATGAGAAGATAGGGAATATTCAAGGATTATAGTTAAGATTAGTTTATTTTAGTTAATTTGTTTACCTTTTTTCATTGAATCAAATAATTTCACTTTCCTAATATTTTATCTTATCTCCTCAGAGGGGTTTTGGGGTTTTGGGGAGATCGGAAGAGCGTCGTGTAG